GGTTGGAAGGATGTACTTCCACCGTGGCACCTCCAGGAACCTCCAGCTCGTATATCTAAAGCCAAGGTCAACTGCCTTGCTTGCCAGATAAGCCTTCCCCATGTTCCTCTCTCTTACACCATTCATTTTTCCCGACCACTGACTTTCGAGTCACGTCAGGCTCTGCCTTCATTTCCACCTCTACAGACTGCTTCAATATATTATCAAAGACCTGAGTGCCTCATTCTGCAAAATTTCTGAATGTGTGTCCCTGTCCTGCTCCCTCTCACATTTGGTCAGGAACCCTGCCATCTTTTGCCTGCCTGTTTGTGAGCCTCCTAAGGGCATTGGGTCTTCCCTCTGACGCGGGTCAGTACCTCCAATTCTATTCCAGCCGAGAGCAGCCACACCCTTCCCTCAAATAATGCCATATAAACTCTTGGCTCCTCTCTTTCTTCTTCCCCACGTCCAACCCATGAGGATATTCTAGTGGCGTGGGCTCCAGAACATACCCATACTCTGATCACTTACTAGCACCTCCACTGCTACTAGCCCAGTTCAAGCCACATGCATGTCACACCAACTACCACTACCATAGCTTTCTCCCTGGCCTCCCAGCTCCCTCCTGTAGTCTACTCCCAAAGCAGCAGTCAGTGACCCTTTTAAAAGACAAGTGAGAGCCAAACATGGTGGCACAGCTACAATCCCAGCACTTGGGAAGCCGACGCAGGACGACTGCAGTAAATCTGAGGCCAGCCTGGGCTACAGAGCGAGTTCAAGGCCAGCCTGCACTACATAAAGAAACCCTGTCAATAAATAAATGAATGGCAAGTGAGTCACTATCATTCCCTACGCAATACCTGTGAGGCAGCCAGTTACTCAGAATTAAAGCAAAAATATTTAAAACGGCTCAAATGCTCTGAATGATGGGGGCTGGGGGTGTTGCTGACACAGTCAGGTTCCCCCAGCCCCACCATGTCATTTCCAGCCACCAGCCTCCTACCACCTTCAGAGATGAGATGTTCCTCTCCAGAATCCTTGCAGTCTGCTCCTGCCACCAGGGGCGCCCTTCCCTTCCTATGTTCACGGCTCACCGCTCACTCATTCAAGACTCTTCTTAACTCTTCACCCCTTCCCTGAAGCTCACCTTAACCGCCTATTCCATACTGCAACCTCCTCTGCGCAGTCACCGTCCCCTTTCCTGCTATTGCCATCTCCCAAAGAAGCATCTTCTGGCATATGGCTTGCAGTCTACTTAGCCTTTGTTTTCCTGTGTGTATGTTTCTCCTCATCATGATATGAACTCCACAAGGGGAGAGATTTCGTCTGTTTGGCTCATGCTTCTATGCCAAGTGCCTCGAACACCTCTACCTGTGTGTTGAACATTTAAATGATCATGTTGAAAGGACTATTTCACAGGATATATGCTCCAAGACCACCTTTCATAAGCATAACTCAAAATGTCACCTCCCTGAATTAATTTTTATACATATAATTAGGCTTCCACTTATTTATTTGGTAGAGGATCTTGCTATGCAGCTTGGACTCGTCACGATCCTCCTGTCTCAGCCTCCCTAGCACGGGGATTACAGGTGTGTGCCACCATGCCAGTTTTAGTGGCTGATACCACATGTGGTACTGGGGATTGAACTCAGGTTCTTGCGCTTGCCAGGCAGGTTCTTATAGGCTTCCTCTTTAAGAAGATGATTCTCTCAGCTGATTCCTTTTTGAGTATTTGCATCAATACCACTTCCAAAACTTCAGCATTCTTGTATTTTTTAAAAATACTCCTTAAATTAACAGAATTTAGAGGTTGTCTAGCTTTCTTTATGGCATTTTTAACTCACTTAATTTCCTTCATTAACAATTTTTTTTTAATTTCACCACGAACACTGCCCCTTTACAAGACTACGTAGAGGGTATAAAAACAATCTTTAATCAAGAATGGTGAAATAATACACATGCTGCACTTGTGTCTCAGTTACTTTTCTCTCTTGCTGAGACAAAAGACCTGACACCCCAAATTAAGGAAGGAAAGGTTTATTTAGCTCAGAGTTAGTGGAGGTTTCAGTCCCTACTCAGCTGGCTCCAAGGCAGAGCGGCACAAGGCAGAGCACGGCAGTGGAAAACAGCAAAACAGCAAGAGCAAAGGGGAGGAGTAGTGGCAATAAGGGCAGCAGAGAGCAAGTCTGTCCCTTATGTTGCATCCAGGCTATCTGCCGCAGGCCGGATGTAGCACTCACACCCATAATCCCAGCACTGGATCATAAATTAATCACAAACTCTAGAAGTCCACCCCGTAACTGCATGAGGCTTTGGGGGGACACCTAGATACAGACCACAACAACGTGTAAAGGTCCTGCCAGAGACACAAATGTAAAGGTCTGCTCCTACTGACCACCATGAGCTATGCTCGGGCAGCTTTGAGACTGGATAAGCTACAGTGCTCTTGCAAAGTAACAGTGGGACTCTGAAATTACTTCAAATTTTGCACATAAAATGATACTTTATACCACACTCTCTCAAATTTCTGCAAAGATGTATCTTAAGTTTGCCAACAAAACGCTAATAAAAGAATTTTACAAGAATTCCTCTCTACCAGTTGGCAATCACCTCTATTCCATATATTTAGGTATATAGTACTGGTAAAGAAAGTTCCTTGACAGCTTTTATGAAATGCTAGAGTCCAATGTTGTGCATGTGTGTGTCTCAAAATAATGCCCAACTTACTAAGCGGCAGCCAGGTACCACATTCCATGGGAAGCATTTTACGGGTGTATTTGCTCGTTTAACCTTTACCATGCCCCTGTGAGGTTGGTTCTATCATTATCCCCATTACCACAGAGAAGGCAGAGGTTCAAAGATGTTAAACAACTTGATCAAAGTCCCAGAACTACTTAGTAAGTCCAGTGTTTACTTCAGAGCCCTTGTTCTAAACCACTCCCGATGAGGCTTCTGGCTTTGAGTCACACTTCAAATGCCTGACAGAGATTCACATCATTAACTTCCAGCTGCAGAAACGCTTCCCATACCTAAACATCTGAACTCCTCCCAGGATCAGCGCAGCCCTGTTTACCAGGAAATCCTGCCTCTGCGGATGAGAACACATTAGGAAAATCCTTCTCATTCAGAACCCAAGTGAGAGATAAGAGAGTTGACCTCTCCAAGGGCTGTAGCAGATGACCCTGACGCTGGCTTCTGTCTACCTCAGACAGAGAAGCAGAACAATGTGAGTCTGTTGAGAAAAAAAAGCAGCAAGATGTCCTCAGGAAAGAGACAAAAGATCCTGCAATGCGTCACTGAGGCCGCCTGGTTTAGGTTCCAGACCTCCTGAGGATGGCACGGACTTGCCCTTGGATTTGATACGAAAGCCCAGAAACTGGAAAACCAACTCCCCATCTGTACTTAGTGGTTTCAGTTACTCCAGCTAAGTCTGATTACCCAACACTAAATTGTAAGAGCACACCAGGGAAAAAGAGACACAAATCATTTTCTGGAACTTAGTGTAGATACCATGACTGAGCAAGAATTTCACAAAATTGCAGACATTGATTCCTAGTGTTCCTTGCTGGTTTACTCTTGCACGCCTTTTTGATCCTTTTTCATATTTTATTATGTTTATATTATTACTTAATTTTTTAAAAATTTGAGTGAAGAATTCCCAGCATCCTAAAGTAAGAACATTGTAACTTTTGCTGTACCCGCTTTGACACATGTTTCCCAAGGTACTGGCTGGGATACACCAACCCCCACCATTAAATCTCACTGATTTCCCCCTTTTCCTCTCCTTGAATTATAGAGAACTAATGTTTCCAGGTAGTCTTTGATTAGCAAACCATGGATTCTCCACATCCATGTGCCTCAAAGATCTTCAGTCAGGAAACCATGTAGACCTTTACCCAGTCCCACCACACATCTATGCAATCACTCCTTGGAGCGGAGATACACGAACTCAAGTTTTTGTTGCTTTCTTTTTTGTTTTATTTTCTTGAGATGGGGTCAGAGCTACATGAACTGTAGTTTTTCTTTGTTTTGTTGTTTTTTTCTGAGACAGGGTAGCTAGGTTGTTCAGACTGGCCTTAAACTCCCTGTGATCCTTTTGCCTCAGCCTCCCTACTGCTGGGATTAAGGTATGCAACAGACACTGCAGAGTTTTTGTTCTACTACCTCTTAAATTATTATTATTATCCATTTTATTTTATTTTTTGTACCAGGGACCAAAGTCAGGATCTTACACTTGCCAGGGAGATGCTTATACCGCTGAGCTATCTCCCCGGCCTGCTAACTTATTTTTTAAAACTATAAATCCTTGCATATTTTTAAATTGATAATCTAATTTGATGAGGGAAAAATTTGTCAAGATATTTACATTTACAATACAAATATCATTCTTATATGAATTAAAAGATTATCTAAATGTCACTGAAATTTGAAAAAGTCATTTTGTAAAAGGAAGCTACTCTTCAGTCTTACATCCTTTTTTACTCTTTATCTTGAATTTATGGATTTCATAGCACTGACAGAATAGTAATATTAATATAACACAACTTTGTGTTCCCAAATCTTTTACTGATCACTCTACCAAGCTTCCCTGGAAATGAACCATGCATACAACTGACGTCTTCAATTTTAAATACTTTTTTAAAAATGTTTCTCTTGTTGAATATCTAAATCTTTGGTCTATAATTGATCAAAATAAATGCTGATAAGTCTTTTGTAATACCAAAGCTAAACTTTCTGATAATACATCTAAATATAATGAATAGACTCTATTTACATACATAGTAACATAACATGACGATAACATATGACTAGAATGCAAAGGTGGTCCAGCATAAATTCTATTCCTGTTTTTCATACTTTTTTTTTTTTAATC